GGCGCGACTTGGGGCTGGGAGGAGGAGGAGGAGGAGGATCCGCCGTTGCTGCCTCAGGCCCGGCCGGTCCGGACCGGGACGGCGCGAGCAGAGGACGAGGAAGAACCGGAGCGGCCCCCATCCGATAGAGCGGCCGCGCCGAGTCCATGAATGGAAATCGGCAGCGCAGGTGAGGCGGAGGGGTTGCCCGCGGAGGGGCTTCTGAAGGGGCGGACTCGGGGGGAGACCGGGAGGCCTTCCCGAAGGCCTCGTTACTGTCCGCGAGGCGCAAGAGGGAGAGGGGCCCTTTGGGACCCCTGGCCCTTCCCAGAATTGGCCTTCACGTGCTGGCCGGTCCTCAGAACGAAGGGGGTTGTTTAGCCTAAACCAGGGTTCCCCAAAGTGGTCAATATTGACTCTCAAGGGTCTATCCAAGGGGTCGATAAATGGCTGGGGGTTAAAATGGGGCAGTAAGTGGCTGGGGATCAGTAAGTGGTCGATAAATGATGGAAGGTTGATTGGGGTCAGTTAATTTTTTGGGGTCTCTATAGAGCTCCACGCCAGTCCCTAGTCCTGAAGGTGAGGTGGCTAGTGGCGAGACAATGTTCCCTGGGGTTGGATGGCCAGCTGCCAGCGAAAGCAGCCTTGAGCTGTCTCTGTTAATAGTAGTAGTAACAGTAATTTTAGTTAATGTAGTATTTATTAAATTATTTTTATATAATCAATGTTTAGGGGTCATTGAACAGTTGGAAACTTCACAAAGAGGTTGATGAGTTGGGGGACCCCTGGCCTAAGCCTTAAGACATTTTCCCCCAAGCCAGTGCCAGTGCTGTGTTGGGCTACAGCTTCCCTAATTCTGCCCAGTTGCACCACCCTCTATTGTGCTGGCTGAGAGCTATGGGAGTTTAGCCAGCTTTTCTGGAGGATGGCAGGTTGGGGAAGGGGTTAAAATGGGAGGATGGGTGAGTTAAGTTGACTTTGAGGGTACAGGACAATGAGGACTTTGTGCATCAGGTGAGGAGTGGGGTAGAGATTCATACTTAGGTTTGGACAGGGAGGAAAGGTGACTGTTTAGGTTTTGTGGAGCCCCTGCTTATCTGTTAAAGGAACATTGCATTGCCATGAAACAGATGACTGTTGTAGCCTCCTTTTTTTTAATGGCATCTCCCATTAATTATGGACCTGAAGATTTAGAACAGTTGAGATAATTGAATGAAGCAAGGGATCAGAGTTTGTATGTGCTTCGGAGGTGGATTGGTATAGGGCAGTGTTTCTCAACCTTGGCAACTTGAAGGTGGGTAAGCTTCAACTCCCAGAATCCCCCAGCCAGCATGAGGTTAAAAAACACTGGCATACACAAATGCCAGTCAATATTATGAACTTTTGCATGTGTGTGGTCTGGTGCATCATTTCAGTAGAATGAAGATAAGGTGTATTTGTGGCAGTGAGGATCCCTGGGTATAGTAATGGTGAGGGGCACTTAGTATCTTACCATTGTTCTCGGGATGGGAGCTGAAATACTTATAGAAGAAACAGTCTTTCTGTTTTGAAATAGATACTTTGACATATGCTAGAGCTTCTTACAATCAATTATCTGAAATCAAAAATTGCATAAGGTGGATGGTTCACTGGGAGAAATCTACATATTCCCCCTGAAAATGGCATTTTCTGTTATATATTGGCAGGCACAGGTATGAGTCAAGATAGTGTAGTACATTTAAACATCAGTACTGAAAACAAAAGTTGCTGAAATTCTGTGAAACTATAAAAGCTAATCTCATTCACCTGATTGAAGTAAGTTGGACAAACTCTGCTGCTTAATTGCCTTAAGGTATGCTTGTTCAGAATTTAGGAATCGTTTGATTAGCTGCCTTGAGAGATTCTGAAGTGTGTAGAGTCTGTTCTTTATCTTTCTGACTCTTAAAGCATGCTTAGAAACAATGTACCTATTATTGGATAGTTAGAACTACTTATGTCTTTTTGATATAGAGTGACTTTTGAAGACCTTAACTAACACCAGTATAAGTTTCAAAGCATAATGGAATAAATGTAAATAACAGCACTGCTTTCTTCAGTTTAAATCCATTGCTTAATGAAGACACAGCAACTTTTTCTTTTGAAGTTATTAACATGATAGCTGACACAGTTGCACAAAAACTGGAACTTCCTAGTTATTCCTGTAATTATGAATCTTTAAGTTACTTATAATTGCATCATGTAGTCCAGATTAGTCAGTAGCAGCACTTATAGAAACAAATATTTAGATTTTCAGTTGTGATCTGAAGTCACATCATTTGTTTTCCATACATGTTTAAATGCCTTCATCATAGATTTCAGTTTTATCCTATCCTGCAGTGATAGATGGGTTTTTAATATTTGTTCATTCACAGCAGCTCAAGTATTTTAAAGTTAGTTTTCCTTACTTGATAGGATATATATTTAATGTGCACTATTTGCAGCTAACTGGGAGTTCATAATATCTTGTCACTTTGAAAAATGTGATACTGGATGACCTAGTTCAACCCATCAATCCATAAACGATACTTGACAAACTCCACTAAGCCAAAACCAACAATCCATATTATGGTGTAGCATAGCAAATTGTATGAATCAGACCACGGTCTGTTGAGTAGCCACTGATGTCATCTAGAGGGATAACTTTTGCAGTGTATGTGTTGATTTTCTTTTATCATACTCTAAGACATTGCTGGGTCACATCCAGGATTTGCTGTTTAAGCTCCTAACTGTATCTATCTGTATTTTAGTTTTATTTAGAAAAATCTTCACCCTTAGTAAAAAAACAAAACAAAACTGTTCCAAGCATGTGGAAAGCTGAAATAGTGTCAGAGTCCTCCTCCTCCTCCTTTATTTTGGCCATTGACCAACAAAATTATTTATTTATTTATTATTAAATTTGTAGGCCGTCCATCTCCCCCAATGGGTGACTCTGAAAATTTGCTTTCAATACTAAAATTAAAGCCATTCCATTGTGCCAATAGTCTAATCTAAATACTATAAGAATAGCAAAAATTTAAGCTGCTGGCATAAATGCAAAAATATAATACCAATAAGATTATAAATATAATTAAGATTACAAAATCAGCTATGAATGTAGTATTATGTAAATCTGTATTATTTGTGTGTGTGTGTATTATTTATAATACACACACACACCAATAATACAGATTTACATAATACTACATTCATACTACTAAATACTACTAAAATAACAACCATAAGTACAAATGGCTAACGCAGAATAAAAAAACAGTAAAATCTACAGGTATTTCAAAGCTGAATATTAATGGTGTGTCTGTAAAACTATGGTGCAAAAATTTAGGTAGAACATAGAAAGGGATGTCAGGGAATCTAAAGACTAAAACCTAAAATAACCAGGAAAAATATAAAGTTATGGGCCCTGCCTTAATTGTAGCAGTGCCTAAGGGTATGAATTAGGGCAAATGGGTGTAAATGTCAGAGCCAGTAAAGCCCCAGTAAAAGTATAAAAAATGGATGGTAGAAAAACATGCTTAGAATATATTGGAAACAGAATTTGTTTAACTTGATTAAAATTGTGACTAGGTATCCTGGTGAGTTTCTTAGCCTGCTTAGCTAAGTGGTAATTGGAATCCTCCTGTGACTAGAAAGAAACAATATTATGCTACTCATTTTATATACATAGTTGAAAGGGTCTTTCTATCCAAACTTTCCTTTCTGCAGAGTTTTCCAACTTTACTTTCAAATCCTCATTAGCCATTATTATATCCTTTAATGCTCCTGGTGAACCCACAAAATTCACACTCTGGGCTAGGTTGGCACATCACAGTATATTTTAACGTATCTTGGCATTGGTTCAAGTGTAATGTTAAACTGTAAATGGATCTGGATTGGTACTAGGTCCCTCTGGCTGTATTCACATGACTTGCCTACTACTGTGATTAACTTGATCATGGTTTTCTCAGTTAATCCAGTTTCAGCAACAAACTACTCAGACAGATTGGGTTCACTTAACAAAGTTAAATGTGATTGGCTAGTTTATGGCTCAGTGTTTGGGTTCCAAACAGCTGCTGAATAGAGGATTCTCTGCAAAATTAGATATTTAAGAAGATATTTACTATTTAAGAAGATATTTAAGGATGACTGATAGTATGCAGTAGTTCTCAGATGCATCTTTGTTTGCATATTTCAAAATAGCTTAACACACTGACCAGTGCACAAGGCTTGTGCAAGCACCTTGCTGGGTCAAAAGAGTTTTCAAAAACCAGAGATAATGTTTGGATGTCTTGTCTTCTGTCTGTCACACAGACAAAAACTCTTTGTTTGCAGAAACTAACATCTGAAAATGAAGCTACATCTGATCTGGGGAAATGGATAGTAAAGTTGTGATAATGGAGTTTCCCTCTCCTCCCCCATATTTTCCTTGGTTTATGGGTTGTGCGTTTGAGAGTATGATTAAATGCCATTTGCTTACAAATAAAAATATGGTTGCACAGAAGTGTGAACTTGAGTCTTGTGGACCTTAAATAAGGATGTTTCCTCCCTAATGTTGGTCATGAGATATTGCCAGGAAAGTCAGAATAAGATGAACCCACCAAAGGATTCAGGTCTAAGCAGGATTCACTGTACTTATGAGTACAACTGTTATTGGGTTTGCAGAGCAAGGCTCTGTATTTAACTTTCTGGGGAGTTTTATGAATCACTAATATAATTACTCATCTGTGTTAACAATGCATTTTAAAGTAATTAAGTTTAGTTTGATGACCTGAAATGTTTCAGAGAAAAGTGTTTTTGGAAAAGGTATACATAACAGAGATGTGGAAATACATCAATCACACAAGAATCAAGGAAGACTTAAGAGGAGTTTAAAAATCTGTTCCTTCTGCTTAAGTAACTCAGCTAAGTAACTAATTTCCCCTGTTTTTGAACATGCTGTACTTCTGGACTATGAATTGGCTTCCTGGAATATTACTGTATAGAATTCAAAGTTCTGGCAACAGATACAGTGGCATAGCATGATGAAAGCTGTTGCTCAGGCTTTTTACAGTAAAATGTATACAATAACCAGGGAAAAAGAGCTATAATGTTTATATCAGTCAGTATATCATTGTCTTCTTTCTTTAGAACATTTTAGCTTCCTACTGAAGTCTTGTTCTGAAAACTTTTTCCTCTCCATAATAGCTGTTGTTTAAA